TAAATAGAAATAGAGGAGACGCCGGGCCTGCGGACGCCTGCAAGGCTACCTCGGTGTCTCAGTGAACTGAAGGCTGGCTCCCGAGCTACTACGGCTGTCCGGGACCTGGATCTGTGCAAAAGAGCACAGAGTGTAGTATCAGCACAACCGACCCCATGTGCTGGTAAGTGACTATAACCTCGGCGAAGTAGTGACGAGGCTAGGACCAGACTATGAAATAAACCTGTGCAGTTATATAAAATACAGCGGAAATTAAAGCAGGTATAAGCAAGTAAGGATGGGAGGGGGGAACATGCTTCGGGGGATAACAAGTAAAAACAGAATATCAAGAGAATAATAAAGAACATCAATAATTTAACTCTAACACGGATAAGGGAAATAAAAGCAGGTTTCACTGTCAGTACATATCTCGTTGCAGGCGTGCAACCCGATCCCATTTCATGTATCTCGTGGCAGGCGTGCCACCCGCTCCTATTTCATTATACCTCGTGGTAGGCGTACCACCCGCTCCCATTTCATTATATCTCGTAGGGCGTACCACCCGCTCCCATTTTATTATATCTCGTGGTAGGCGTACCACCCGCTCCCATTTTATTATATCTCATGGTAGGCGTACCAACCACCCGCTCCCATTTTATTATATCTCGTGGTAGGCGTACCACCCGCTCCCATTTCATTATATTTCGTGGTAGGCGTACCACCTGTTCCCATTTTATTATATTGTTGCGGCGTGCAACCCGATCCATATATAATATTGTTGCGGCGTGCAACCCGATCCATATATATAATATTGTTGCGGCGTGCAACCCGATCCATATATATAACATTGTTGCGGCGTGCAACCCGATCCATATATATAACATTGTTGCGGCGTGCAACCCGATCCATATATAATATTTACAAATATTCCCGACAAGGGATCAAAAGGTCTACACTATCCCGGCAAGGGAAAAAGAAACAGTTATAACCAAACTTGTCACAACACCTATCTACCTCAGTCCTACCCAAACCTTGTCACAGCATCTAACTTCCTCGGCTATACCCAAACTTGTTACAACACCTAATTACCTCTGCTATACCCCAAACTTGTTACAACGCCTAATCACCTCCACTATACCCCAAACTTGTCCCAACATCTAACTACCTCAGCTATAACCATAATCCTTAACTAACACAAAGAATCATCAACCTAAGTATCCATAATATCAATTAAGAACACAATACAAGGGAACCACAACTCACAATAGCCCGGCAAGGGGGCAACATAATGATCTCTTCTCTTTCTCACTTTTACTTCACAATTCACTTCATCACTTGAGCCACTGCTCTAGAGGTTCAATTATCACATATACTTTCACAATTCATTATACAACTAGAGCCAACGCTCCTCAACGTTCATAAGTCACAATTCTTTTCACAACTTTACACAACAAATAGAAAATTTCACCACGACATGAATAATATAACGAAATCATGGAAATCACGATATAAGACTCACGGTCATGCTCGACACCGACGTATAGATATTCGTCACCATGCCTATACATCGTACTCAACAAGAAACAATTAGCAAATAGGACGCAACTCCTAATCCCTCAAGCTAAGGTTAGACCAAACACTTACCTCGATTCCTCGAACATAATTCATGCTTCAATTATAGCTTTACCCCTTGATTCCACCACCAATTCGTTCGTATCTAATCACAAAATACTTAATTACATCAATAAACGCTAAATGAATCAATTTGAATGCATAAAATGAATTTCCCAAAGTTATGCCCAAAAATTCCAAAATCGCCCCGAGCCCACGTGGTCAAAACCCGAGGTTCGAACCAAAATCCAGCTACCCATTCCCCCACGAACCCAAATATATGATTTGTTTTGAAATCGGACCTCAAATCGAGGTCCAAACCCCCAATGTTAGAAAAACCTAGGTTCTATCCAAAACCCCCAATTTCACCCATGAAAATCCTTGATTTTAAGTTGAAAACATGTTAAATGATGTTAATGATTGAAAGAAATGAGTAAAAATCAACTTACAATTGATTTGGAAGAAGGTTTGTTTTTGAAAAATCGCCCAAAGAAGTTGTGTTTTGAAAATGGGGTGAAAATGTCTTAAAAATCGACTAAGTATGAAAAATGCAGGTTGCAGATATGGGAATTGCGAACTGGGAATTGCGAAAAAAGTTTGGGAATTGCGAACCGGTAATTGCGAACAAAGTTTGGGAAATGCAAACAAGCCTGGGAATTGCGAGAAAAGTTTGGGAAATGCGAACCTGGTAATTGCGAACAAAGTTTGAGAAATACGAACAAGCCTGGGAATTGCGAGAAAAGTTTGGGAAATGCAAAGCATGGTAATTGCGAACAAAGTTTGGGAAATTCGAACAATCTTGGGAATTGCGAGAAAAGTTTGGGAAATGTGAAGCCTGCAGGCCTGCAATTCCTTAAGTCCAAAATTTCACCCCGTGGCCTATCCAAAACTCACCCGAGCCCTCGGGGCTCCAAACCAAACATACACACAACCTCAAAAACATCCTACTGACTTATTCGTGCGATCAAATCGCCAAAACAACATCATATACATCGAATTAAGCCTCAAAATCCATAATTTCTTCCAAATTTCATAAAACATCAAATTTGCCATTTTAAGTCCAAAACATGTCAAACGACGTCCGTTTTCAACCAAACTTTACAGAAAGTGCTTAAACCACATGTAAGACCTGTACCGGGCGCCAGAACCAAAATACGAGCCCGATACCATCACGTTTTATTCAATTTTCATTTCCAATTTCCTTAAATATTTTCAGAAAAACAATTTTACTCAAAAATTCATTTCTCGGGCTTGGGACCTCGGAATCCGATTTCGGGCATACGACCAAGTCCCATATTTTCCTACGGACCCTCCGGGACCGTCAAATCATGGGTCCGGGTCCGTTTACCCAAAATATTGACCGAAGTCAAATTTATTCATTTTAATATCAAAACTTAGCATTTTTCACAGAATTTCATATTTAGACTTTCCTGCTACGCGCCCGGACTGCGCAAGCAAATCGAGGTGACCCTAAATGAGGTTTTCAAGGCTTCGAAAGTACAGAATGAATAAGAAAACAAGTGATGACCCTTTGGGTCGTCACATTTTATAAATTAAATAATTAATTTTATAATTGGACAGAGTAATTATTTATGGGTTCCAGGCTCGATATTTGAGTTAATTTGACAACATATATTAATTTGTTTGTTTTGTAAGTTTATTTTATAAATTAAATAATTAATTTTGTAAAGTGTAATTGGATAGAGTTTGTAGTTAGTACTTACTTAAACTACATAGACTCTACGCTAAAAGACTCTATATTTTACTACTTTATAAGACTCTATATTTTACTACGCTATAAGGCTCTAGATTTTACTACGCTAAAAAGCTCTATATTTTACTACGCTAAAAGGCCACTATTCTTTAAGCAAATAAATAATCTAAACTAAATAAAACAACAAACATATGAACATAACATTCACAAAATTACATATAAAACAGTAAAAGATATTTGGGAACAATTTCATTAACAATAAAAATTATTTATCAAGTTTTAACTATTTTTTGTCCCAAGGCTAATAATTAAATCCGGGTAAAAATAACATACAAATTTAATCGCAAACATAACACAAATCAACGTGGAAACACATTCAACAAAACAAATATGCATATGCTCTACGAGTTTCGACATAAACTAAATCGAAATACCTCGATTTAAGTTTTTTGAAATATCGAAAATTCGAAATTTTGACCCCGAAAGAATGAATCCAAAGCTTGGGTTGTATGCGAGACCTACGCTCTTTACTTTATGTGTGAGGGTGGGGCCCAAGAATTTTTTTTTAATTGCGGGGGGGGGGGACCAGCAGAAATGGTGGGGTTTTTTTTTTTTTTTTAAATGTCGACTGGTTCTGTCGTGGGGAAGAAGGAGGGGTTATATTTTTTTACAGGAAAACGCAGTATTATNAGGGACAGTGGTGGGGTGCGTTTTTTTTAACAATGGAAGAAGACAGATCGTGGGGAAGAAGAAGGAGGGGTTATATTTATTATAGGGAAACGCAGTATAATACTGCGTTTTCCTTAAACGCAGTATTATAATGCGTTTTCCTATAAAACAAATTAATTTTTTAATAAAACGCCGTATAGTACTGCGTTTAACTTTAACGGCTAACTTTCCGTCAAAGTAAAACGCAGTATTATACTGCGTACTGCGTTTTATGTAGAAATGTAACTTTTTTTTTAAAACTGTATTAACGTATTTTATGCCCATTTTAGTTTCGGACTCTTCTACTCATGCCTTCTAGATTTGAGCCTTGTGGACTGAACCAGCTTTATGCTATGAAATATGGGACTATTCTTGTTGTTCATGCTGTAGGAGGGATCAGAGATACTATGCAGCCTTTTGATCCTTTCAATGAGTCAGAACAAGGGTGGACCTTCAGTAGGGCTGCAGCTAACCAGCTGATCCATGCGTTACGGAGTTGCTTACTGACTTATCGCGAGTACAAAAAGAGTTGGGAGGGGATTCAGACACGCGGTATGACATAAGACTTAAGTTGGGATAATGGTACTATGAGGAAGTTCTTGTCGCCGCCAAGTATCAGTGGTGAGGTTCACAGCTATATGTGGAGTTGTGGTCATTGTATAAAGTTTTAATGAAGGTATTTCAGCTATTCCTTAGGGTCCAAATATCTAATGACGGCATTGCTCCAATTTTTGCTTACCCAAGGCAAGTCCAAAACCCTTGCCTCAGTGACTTAACTTCAGAGTCCTATTTCTGGTTTTGCCAAATAAATACAGATTGAGTTGGTATTGCATCATAAGTATTGAATCCGTCTGTTTGGAGAAATATGAGGTGGCTGTTTCCCTTGTTCTCTTCGTCCAAACAAACAATAAACATTTCCAAATTGGATTTATATTTGCAGTGAGAAATTTGTAAGGTAAGAAATCATATAATAATGAAATATATGAGAGGTAAGAATTCAATCTTTCATCAACCCATACTTCTTAGGTTTTGTAATCATATAATGAGAAGAAGCTAAAAAATAAAACTAGCCGCAAGCAAGCAAGTAATCTATCTTCTTTCTAGGAAATATGGTTATCAAGCCAAACTCCTTTCGTTTGAAGCATAACAATCTACTGACATAAGAAAGTAATTTGTCTTCTTTCTAATACTAATGTGTTATCAAGCCAAACTCCTTTTGTTTGACGCATAACAATCTGCCGACACATGCAATTACAGCAAATATGCCTAATATCTCTCAGGATCAACAGTTCAGGATGTAATTAAACTACTGACATCTATCAGCTTCCAAAAAATCTTGTTAGCAATTGTTATCTATGCAGTCTCAATACCTATATGTGAGTCTTCAAGCTTCATATCTTTTATGCAACTTTACCTGCAAATGGCCATTACACGACTATTAAAAGATATACTGCACCGCACATAAGTCAAGGGGTGATTGATAGAAATAGAATATTTTGATTTTTTGACCCCGCTTGCCCATGAGCATAACATTAAGTTTCACAAGTGTTGGCCCTCGCTTGCCCGGTGGGCATTGACTTTTGACCTTAAAGGTTTTACCTATGGTGCAAACGGGGTAAAAAAGTCAAGACTATCCATTTTCGAGGTCATTAGTGTAATTTTCTATAAGTCAAGAGACCTAAGTAACAATAGCCCAACACATGGGTATGCCTGATAGTGATATAAATCAGCCACCAATTGCAAAAATGGTGTCTGAGCTGATAACCAATTTAATAACGCAACTTGAGCAGGAAATAAACAAAGAGAGAATTCTGGATTAATATGTTACAAAAACAAAGAGTAAAGAGAACGCGGTCCAAAAAAAGAAAGCAATATGGCGAGTAGGTAACAAACTAGCTCAAGCAATATATGGTTTTAGTATATAGAGTATCTTGAAGTGTCTTGAATTGTAAAAATTGTTGGGTTGAGAATAGGCAATGCTTTATCTACCCTAAAAAAAACATTTTTTTATCTAAATAGAGGGAGATGTCTCCACCGGATTCAATCAAGTTAATTTATCTTCACAACAAACAACATTATATGATCTAAAATATGAAAATCAATGCACAAATAAAGCATAAAAAGCAGCCCAAATTTATTCATTTTTTCCTGTGAGCTTCAAAAGCTGTTTTAGTAATTCTCTCTTTCAAAAATAATGATATTTAAGATATCCTTAATTTTATCATGATTGCTTTTCAGCTATTAACTAAAAACAATGAACTAAGATTGCGATATAGCACTCAAAATAAGAAACCTAAGTAACTCATTGATTTGGCGTACACAAAATTACAAAGGTCCTACGTCAACCAAGAGTCAAGAGCTTAATTCAATCACAATAGCAATGCGAAACTTGAGAGACTTACTCGTAATCTAGCATAATCAAATGATAGAAAATATGCTAATTATAGTCAAAGCTAAGTAACAGTTATTGTGAAGTGAATGGTTAACAACCTTAGACTTGCCATTACGTTAACAAGTTGGAAAATCCAAAAAGAGCAATAGCCAATTTGCAAAACTATCAAATATAGAACTGCAACAAGTTTCTCTTCAAGAGGCCCATGTCTGAGAGAAGAGTACTTACGGAAGTAATCTTGATAGTGAGAAAGATATTATTGGCCAAGGTATTAATAGAGTCAAATGGACACTGAAGAAGTGAAGATATTATACACTGGGATATGGATTTGAGATATGAATAACACCTAATAGTGATGTCGCCAACTAAAGTAGAAACAGGAGGAAGGTTTATTCATAACAAGATGGAAGTCATTTGATATTACTGGAGTGTAAGAAGCATTAGAGTTGTAATATGTTTCGACATCAAGTAACTCTTGAATATGATCATTTATTAGGTACAAAAAGCATAAAAGTTATTGAGAAGATGCGTTGGAAAAAAAATTTGCATCCAAACTCTAATGTTGAAGTAAACAATCATGTTGTGCCGAGCACTTGACTGATGCAAGTGTGAACGTAAATGCCAATTTTAGTGCAAGGAAGTCCAAAACTTCATCACGATAAACTAAATTTAAGAAAAGAAACAAACAAGCCATGCCAATTATTTCTCTCCCACGCAATTGACATATCCAAAATATTATGAAGAGCAACTGAGTTATGTATTCTGGATTGATGTCAGGTCAAGGGTGACAAACTTGATTTATTGACGTGACCTACTTTGATAATTCAGATTTGTCCACCAATATTAGATTACTCTAGTGGTATTGGTGGGATATAAATCATCGTAGTGAACCAGCAATGCTGGGTTGTCGCCTGCTTGTTGATGAGGCAAAGGACTATTATGGTTGGGTTTACAAAACTGGGCTCACCTTGGATGTTTCCCTCATAACAATTCTCAGAGACATGCAAGTTAGAGGAGAATGCATTCATTCAGGTTTTACTGAGGTCTCGTCATCATTTTCTTTATCACACAACATGAGGAAAGCTCCGGACAATTAGCAGGATTGTGTAACTATGATGCCAATATGAGGCTCACAATTTGGATTCGAAGCATCATGGAGATTTTGTTATTCAAATATTTGGAATTAATTGAATAAATAATAAGACAATATATGACGCTCTAATGCCATTTGACTTCGGATAACACATACTTGGAATCAATTAAAAGAAATTTAATGAGTTCATTTAAGATTCGAAATAGTTGATATATAAGAAAGGACAAAATTTACCTTTTCCTTTTTGGTCAGTTGGAAGTGGCTTGAATTTCTTGGAATCCCCGCCCTACATCAGATCAATGTGTCAAATACAATTAAACTTATACAAATATTTTAGGAGAATAATGATAGTATCGAACCTGAAATTTAGGATTTGGACTATCTTTTCTTTTCCAATCTTAGTTGCCTGGGTTTTGTTCTTTAAACAACTTTAGTATTTCTCTCAACATTGCAACATGGATGGCGTATTCATATCCAGATGCACTCCCCGAAACCATCCCTACAACTTCCCCTTTAACATTGAAAACAGGGCCACCTGAAGAACCTTCTCCACAAATAAGGCCATACATTTGTATGATAGGGGTACAAGGGTGAAGATTTTTCTCAAAAGATTTTCCAACAGACGAATTACCAAGTACATGTTCATTCCAAACATCACCCATAATTCTAAACTTAGGTGGGGTCTCCATGGCAGTAGGTGCATAAGTTCTACAAGTTACACTGCCTATAGGTATTTCGATATCGTCTACACATCCAAATGCAACTTTACCCACCAAAAACGAGCCCACAAAATTATCAGGATTCCCTATGTGTAATAAAGTTTGGGCCACCGATAGTGAATCATTATCAGTAAGTGTAGCATACTGACAATCATTTACATCTATAACTTGCAATAAAGTAATATCCCATTTCGGCTTCTCGTAAACTACATTAGCCGAGTGAGAACCAACTTCCTCTAACCTCCTAACATCAATTGTATACGAAGTCTTTGGGAAAAAATGAGCACTAGTAAATATTAGTCCGTCACTACTAACAGAGAAACCAGTTCCAAATGTTACAGATTCTACCCCTCGAACCTTATATTTAAGTCTAATTACCCATATAATTGACTTCCGTCTATTGTAAAACTCTTGCAGCTCACGTTCAGTTAGTCCGGAATCCTTGGATAGCTTTTCCAAATCCTGTAGCATTAAAGAAAATTTATATTAATACATCCATTAACGCCACTAAAGAGCACAAAGAACGCAAGTCCGTGCAGATGTTAGAGAGAGAAAGTAAATTACCTGGGAATCCATGAAGGAAGGGACGATCGGACCGGCGACGGCGAGGCAACAAAGAGAAGATCAGTGGCGTAGGCAGCATGCAGGCAGCAGGGCAAGAACGCAAGTCCGTGCAGTTGAGGCAACGAAGTTAAACAGAACCCTAACTCTTACAAGCAAAACGTCGTCGCTTTGTTTAGAACAGGAAACGTCGTCGTTTTATTTAGAATAGGAAAAAACTTGTCGTGAGGACTGAGGAGGACAAAAAGTGTACTCTGGAATCGAACCTTTGGCGCTTGAGGAAATCTGAGCCCCTCAACCGCCCAGCCAAGCTTATAGCCTATATGACGGTGATTTGACATATATCTATATAGCAATGGTTGTTGGCCTGCACTAGCCTGCGCCCAATAATTTGTGCTACAAGGTGTTTTATTTGATATACTGCCATTATACTTCAATCATTTATTTGCTTCTAACTGCTTTAACTAAAGTATATTTAAAGTTGTAAATTTAAATTTTCGTTATCACTTCAAGAGCAGTAAACTTAATGTTAATTTGCTGGCCTTCACCGTGCGGTAAAGGATATGTGGTCACTTGTCCAAACCATATTAATATAATATGCCTTTTTAATATATTTTTTCTTATTTGATTTATCGTCACCAATGTTTGCTTTGTTTGCTTCCGCATGACGCCTTATTATTTTTCATCCCAACAATCAGAGTCTAACAGCGACTCACGTCCATCTTCATCCATGACTTTACTTTCTCTCACCAGCCTCACCACTCAAACACCACCAACAAATCCTACCCCTTTCTCAACCAATGTCGCTCAGTCAAATTCGATAAAGCTTGATCGGAACAATTATATAATTTGAAAGTCACAACTTCTTCCAGTACTTAGAGGTATATGACCTTGAAGGATATGTTGATGGCATGCATAAATGTCCATCTCGAATGATATCTAGCAGCTCTTCTCACGAAAACTCCTCTCAAAAAAATAAATAAATTCTATAAAATTTTTATCTCCCATTCATTATTCATTAAAATAACGTTCAAAGTCAAAAGCAACCAAATGGTAGGTATTTTTTTCGTTGAAATTTGATGTGATGGTTAATAAGTCAATACAAAAATGTTGCGATCATGAGATCTTAGTGTAATTTTCATCCAAGCGTGAGTTCATGTCCAGCTATTAGTTGATGTGGCGCCCATTACAAATGTTATTTTTTGTTATATAACTCTTTTCATAAGAGATTGGTAAAATATAAAATAAGTGATCGATAAGGTCTTTGTATGATTATTTATTCTTTTCAAATCATATAACCAGAAGAGATCATTTCTTATAATGACTTGATACATGCATATTTTTAGTACTATGTAAACATTATAAATGTGTTCCATCTTTATACTCCATCCTTTTTAATTTATATGATATAATTTAACCGAACACGAAACTTAATAATTTTTCTTAATTTGTGATTTGAAACATACAATAATATTTGTATGATAATAGAAGATTATCATTAGTGTAATATAGTTTCAATTAAATTATTTCTAATTTTAGAAACATATTCTTTATTTTGGGAATAGTGTTACATATAAGATAGGGTATATATAAAAGTTGATTTGCAGCTAAAGTAAAGGGTCTAGAAAAATTGGTTGGGGCAAAACGGTCGGGCACGAATCAGCACTGGTGCCTGTTTTGCTCAAAAGATACTAATTACTTTATAAACGAAAAACAATCAAAATGAATCAAAGGTATCGTGATCGAATATAATGAGACCTAGAAGTTTGTATTATGCTTGTGATTGTTTCAACAACTTGGATATTCGAGAGAGTAAGAGAAAGCTTGTTTAGAGAGAGAGAAATAGAAAGAAAGATAGCTTATTATTGAAAGATCTCATGCCTTTTACAACATCGGGATTCTCCTTTATATAACAAGAGAACCCCCTCAAAAATAATAAAATAATACAGGGATAGGTCACGTGCTTTCGAGGAGACGACGAGACCTAAGGGCACGCTTTCGCTCTGACATTCTTAGGTCGTCCCCTCTACTTCGGCTATTATTTAGTCGTGGGTCGTTGTTACCGTAGTGGGCAGAATTTGACCCCATACAGATAGTCCCTCCGTTCGTTGGTGACGTAATGAAGTGCGTCGCCGATGGACGGAACCATGATCCTTGTATTAGGAAAATTTTGACCATGTTTGGAGACGACGACGTGGAGGGGCGATCATTTGAATTTGTTGACATATTGGCGCGCAATTCCCTCCCTGAGATGACGTCACCATATGCAGGCGTCATCATTACGCCTGTTCCCGAGGAAGTACAAAAGGTGTTCTGATGCTTGGTTTCCCGCGCCTGTTTGGGGTCTTGCCTCTTCGATTTCGACGCTACCCAACCCTATAAATAGGGAAAGGGTTCAACTTAACCTAACTTTAGATCATCTGCAAACGTTTTCCAACTATTTCAAGAAAACGCTTCCTTTTTACGAAAAATCACCGCTTCCCTGAAAGTACACTTGTGGTTGTGTAGTACATCACTCCTTAATCGGAAACCATGACAAAACCTAAACGGGATAACGCTCCGGGGGCTCGTAATAATAAATCATCTGACATACCGCCTCCATCCGGCGGCAATAAGGGAGAGAAAGGGGAGGATCTCACCCCTCTTACCGTAGATAACGTACTCCCGAAGCAACTCCTTATTAGGAGGGACTTTCAACGGGATTCTCCCGAACAACCTTGGGAGAAATCTGAGTTAAAACAAACTGATTTAGATACTCTTCGTGCGTCGTATGATATACCCGCTCACGTGGAGATGGTTTTAGCAGGAGCGGACTACGCGAACACCCATAGATCGGGGTACTGTACGTTTTACGAATATCCCTTTTTGATCGGCTATGGCCTCCCCATTTTTCCATTGGCGGAAGAACTCTGCCGTTACTACAACATGTGTCCCGCCCAACTCACTCCGTATACCCTAAAGGTATGTAGGGTAATGTCTACATACGCGGAGCTGGTCGGGCTGGAGGTCTCCGTCCACCACCTATTGCAGCTATTCAGCGCCAGCTACCTGAGGGGCACCATGCTGCATCTAAAGAATCGTGGCTCGAAGGGGTTGGTCGTGCAAACCGACGATCGGGCTAACCGGGGCTATTGGCGTAGATACTTCTTTATCAAGACGGAGCACCTGGTGTCTAACCCCGTCGGATTCCCTAAGAGGTGGAATTCGAGACGTAAGTATTCCTATCCGTCGAGTCATTTATCGTACGTGACTTTAGCGGTTCCGATTATACCATCCTTATGATTTTTCTGTTATTTTGCAGCAATAGCTCACGTCCCCCGGTTCATAACCGATATTAAGCAGTGGGTGTCCGGTTTGCTGCCTCTCGCGGAAGAGACCCGTACGTGGGCTGAATTCATTGAACGTTACGGTCCCGCGAGCCCTTCAGGTATTTCTTCGATTTTAATTAGTCGCTTTCACAAACTTCTTCAGCTAAATCACTTTAATTGCCAGGTCGAAGTGCTCCTAAGAAGAGGGTGACGACATCCGCCTCCTCCCGATCAGATGTTGGTCAGGATACGCAAGAAATACTTTGTGCTTCTGTCAGGGAAGGGGTGATCGTAGCCTCTTTGCAAGAGGCTGCTCCTGCGGAGGTGGCTACAAATGAGGCAAGGCCGTCGACATTGTCTCCGCAACCTGCGGACGAGCCTTCCGAGGGCGAGGAGCCTGAGGAGAGAAAAAGGAGGAGGCTCGTGATGGGTAAGGCGGTGGCAACTGGAGATGAAGAGGGTGACGCGCCTCGCCAAACAACTAGGCCCGTCTTTATGGCCGACGCCATCCGTTTGGGGAGGCCGGCCAGCCAGATAAGTGCTAATGTTGGTACCAGCTCGGCTCGTGTTGTCGAGGGTAGCTCATCGCCCCTTGTTGGTGGCGATGCTGGGGGACTAACTGCTGAGGCCGCCCACGGGAATGTGGATGAGATGGCGAAAAACTCTACACGCGTGGAGATGACAGCAGACGGAGCTGGCCGCCGCATCGTGATTCCAGGGGCTAACAACTTGTTACAGCACAGCGAGCGGGCTGCACTGGAGATGGCCCTACTGTGTGCTGCCCCTGAGCGCGAAATGTTGAGCGTTGTCAGCGATGCGGAGCTATCTCGGAGGGTCGCTGGCATGGCGTTACAGGTAACTTCTCTGTTCTTCCGTGTGTCGTGAAGGTTATTTTGATGCGTACTAACTTACATGCATGTATATATATATATTCTTCTTTAGACCCCGGTTTTGGAAGTACAGAGGAGGCGCCGTGAGGAGAAAAGAACGACCATTTTTGATAAGATGGTGAAGAGGTATAAACGGTATCGCTCCAAGCATCAAGCGGCGATGGATTTTTTCCGGCAAGATCCACAATTCCAGGTGTTCCGGGAAGGCCTCGAACAGAGGGAGGCACAATTGAGCCGCAGGGCGGCGGGGCTGGAGAGAACGGATGAGGAGTTAGTGAAGGCTGTGGCTCGTAATAGCGAGCTGGAATCACTCCTCAAACTGAGGGAGGAGGAGTTGGAGCTCAGCCGTGGCGTGGCGGCGGAGGTAGCCGATCTTCACCGTAGGGTGGCGGCTTTGACAGCCGAGCTCGAAGCTAAGGCGGCTGGGAGATCGATGTCCTCAGGCGTACTGCCCCGCCACGTCCCGGGGACGCGACCCAAGATGCGCACTAGATGTGGATATATGCGGAGGCCAAATTGGACATGTATAAAAAACTTCTTGTTGTGGGACGTGCCTCTGAGGAGGAAGTTCAGGAGCAGTGGCGCGAGGCTCGTGCCGCTCGTGTAGCTTGTGGGTACAGCTCCAACTCTCCTGACCGAGAGGGCTACACTTCGGAGGATGTCAATCGGCTTGAGTCCGACCCATGGTTTAATGAGACTTACCGCCTCGGTGGCGATGGTCGAGAAGGAGAGCAAGCGGATGGCGATGGTAAATCTGGCGAGGCTCCTTAAGACTTGTATAGGTTTTTCCTTTTTTTTTCTTTTTGGAATGTAATGGGAGTCCTCCATGGGACTAAATGTATATAATTTTTGTCATAGTGAAAGAATTATACTTTTGTTGCTATTCTTTTGTGTTGTTCTTTGTTTATACATGGTTTGTTACTGTCGAGCGGTGTCGACGATCATTGGCGATGGCCTTTGGCCCATAGGATGTAACTTTAACTGTCGTTGAAGTGTTATCCGTCGTCGTCGAGCGGGGTCGACGATCATTGGCGATGGCCTTTGGCCCATAGAATGTAACTTC